CAACGGCGTCCACGCCTGGTGCCCCCATAACAACGAGGACGCACACTACGGTGACGACTACGCCTCGGCGTTTGCGTACAAGGCGCGCCAGTGCTCGGTCAAGGCCACACAGAAGTTTGTTACGGTGTACGATGCGCCTGGGGGCCAAGCAGCGCTGCTCTTGGTGGCCGTGGCCATGGTGGGTGCCGTCGCGGTGATCGTTGCCGTCTCCGTGTCCAAGAAACAGGGGCCGTCGATCATCTCGATGGAAGATGGCTACGTGCCCCTGGCGCAAGACATGTACTAAGCCATCGCTCGTCGCCGCGTTAATGATTCGCTGTCAGTAGTCGGTCCAATACATATATCGTTAATCGTTTTTCTCTACGCGAGCTGTCGGCTTGTTTACGCCGAGGCGAAATGATGCTTGTACGTACAAGTGGAAGAAAAAAATGTACAGGGTCGAGCAAGCGAAGGACCTTGCAGGTTCATGCAATCGATAGAAGATAGCACGGTAGTAGGCGTCCATCGCCCCGGTAGCGTAGCCACTATACAGTTTATCTTCCTAGTCATAAGCGGTCCCTGCCACGCCACGCCCAAAATGGCGCCAAGAGACTTGTCACGACTGGACCGCCATGAGCTGCTCGTGGCGCGCCCGGCGCAGGCAGTACGCCACGACGAGAATGATTGGGGCAAGTGCCATCGCCGCTAGCACTGGCACGCCGTCTGTCATTGATCTGAATGAACTGGCCTTTGTCAACCACCGGGCTTGTCAAAGATACCGTTTTGCAGCGTGCGATTGGCTCTTTTTTCTTTTTGTTTCCGCCAATCATCAATGCCGCCATAGTGTCCCAAAAAGGGCGTGCAGAGCTGCATCCCGAGCTTTGCCAACGGCAACTGCGTCGCGCCGTGTGCCAGGTGCTGCGTCCGGGCGGTCCCAAGGGCTGTGTGTTTGGCGCGCCGTCCGTGACGCCGGCGACCGACAACAGCAAGGTGTGCGCCGAGAACTGGAGCCAGTGCAACGGTCAGAACTGGCCGTTCGGCGTCTGCTGCAAGAGCGCGGGCTGGAAGTGCGTCAAGCACAACGACTACTACTCGCAGTGCCTCCAAGGCTAGAAAAGGTATAATTGGTTTTCTTTTGCGACGATACCTCTGGAACGATATACAATATAAATCGTTATACTAGTATGCACTTGCACGAGCGTTGACTGGACGCGGCGCAACTCGGTGGCAACCGCCTTTGCCGAGGGGCCTCCCATGGACTTGACAGCGCGCTCGAGAATCGGGTCCGGGCACGTGTCTCGGTACTTGGGCTGCATTTGGCCTTGTTGTCAGCTATATCCATACAAGCTCTGGGCACGCACTGCTTTTCTGGTGGGGTATCTTTGCCTTGTCAGAACTGATTGTCATCACGGTGGCAGAGATGCCAATATCAGAATGGTGGTCGTGACCAGCATTCCGATGGATTCTTGTCTCACTGCAAAGTCCAGTCTCGAACAAGTCATGTCGGGTCCGTGGGAGCCGAGCGCGGCGCTGCGGCAGAACGTCGACAAGAGCCTCCTGCGCGTCCGGAGCGACCTCGAGGCGCACGCGGTGGCTATCCGCTGGGGCCTCGCCGCCGCCATGGTACCTGGCTTTTCTTCGTGACATGTTGGCGCTGACAAGCGTGGTAGGCGGGCGTTGCTTGTCTTCGCGTCCGATCGAGCCCTGCGGTACGCGCCTTACTGCTTTAGGAGGGTGCTGGAAGAAGCCTGTTTAGTGGGCGCGCTATTCGAGTATTGAAGCATTTCCGCTCTACAAGTCGGTTGTTGTTCGCGTCGTCGGCCCGCCAAGCGCGACGA